CAAAGTGACTTTCCATGTGCCTCAGTATCCTCGTCCTCATCAGGAAGGCTGTCCAACAGCTTCAGCTCCTCTTCGGTGAAGAGGAACCTCATGGCCTGCGCAAGCTTGCCGAGCTTGCTACGTTGGCGTAGATCCAAGCTGGTAAGCCATGTCATGAACTTACAATCCTAGTAACAAGCACTAGTACGCAGCTGTACCAACAATGACCACATAACCTACGCACCTACGAAACCCACTGCGCCGCATTGGCAAGGGGAAGCAGCAATTCAGCTGAGCCCAGCTCGAAGCAAGGCACAAAGCAGAGGTCATCTACTAGACCTAATCCTGCCTTGCGGATGAAGGCCAGGGACGCCATGAAGAAGGGGAAGACGACCGAAGTCTCTTTGATGGCCTTAACACCGTTGCGTAAAAAAGATGACGATGCCGAGGTCCTAGACTCCTAGACTTCAGTCAACTCAGAAGGGCCTAAGTACTAAGACGTCACCCTACGCCTGGCCTTAAGACCGTAGAGGATGGCCAAACAAACCACCTGGACGACAGTGTAGAGGTGCACCCGCTTGATGGGCAGCTTCTGGATGTAGTGGTACTGTGGGTACTTCGAAGAGTCCCAGATCAGCCACAGGAAAAGACGGTCGAAGAGGTTGTTGCCTGTCAGCGAGGCGATGCCCATGTAGAAGAAGACGCCCTGCAGCACGGACCGCGGCAGGAACTTCAGCACCGGGGCGAGGAACAGCGCACACCCAATGAGGACCTGCTGGGTTGTCCTTTAAGCCCTCTGAAAATTATTTACGACTATGGTTCTCTACAAAATAATCGGAGGGGGAATTAAAAAAGATCCCAAAGGACAACCCAGGCACATGAATCAAGAAATTGGTGGCACGCTGCTCCACAACCTTTGCCGGGCGTTTGATCTCACCCTCGGGCAGCTGCTTCACCTCGTAGGTGGTCAGGGAGATGACATGCGTGATGCTGGGCACCGTGGAGGCCACGGACAGGGGCAGGCCCAGCACAGCGCATGCAGGGAGAGTCAACGCTCCCCTCACAAATAAATCAAGATGGTAGCCGGGGCCCTTTTTCAAATTGTTGGAGGGGCGGTTCACGATCACGGAGGTCAAATTCTGGTCCAAATATCCCAGCACAGCGAATCCAATCCTTACAGCTGATCACACCTGTGAACCCTGAAGCACGACGGCTAGGATGAATGAAACGCAACACCTGACTCAACAGCGCTCAAGAGTCGCCGGCAGAATGGCATAAAAAATGGCCCAGACGGGGAAGTCCTTTTCGATGCCCATGGGATTCACGATCCAAGGCCGCTTGCTGCCATCAGACAAGACCAAGTTCGGGGAGAAGTCGGCATCCACACTCAGCATCCTCAGGGATGTGTCGCTGGAGTAGATCGCCGCCAGCGCCGAGGCTGTGACCAGTGAGATGGTCACTGCGAAGTTGGCCATGAGATTACGCATGGACCTGAGGAGCCACGGCGTTCGGCGGAAGTGGGACAGGTAGGTTGCCAAGCCAAAGGTGTAGAGGAAGAGCAATGCCTCACACAGCACACATCGCATCAGTGGTTTAGAGCTGCAAGGTGGTCCCCTAAACCAAGAGCCTCGAACATCGCCGCCGTAAGGGTCATCCTCTTCTCCGTGAAGTTCTCAATGATGGGCCTGCATCTCACCCAGGACAAAAGACGAGAGTGACGTGCAGAGGGCACATGCTGAGCAAGGGAGTTCGCATGAACACACGGAATGCGAAGATGATCAAGAAGCCCGCCTCACACCATCAATGATGAAGATCAAACTAATGAGGCCGGCAAAGATGTCCTCCGAGAACCTCAAGTTTTCTCACAAGATCTCTTTACAAAGCAGTAGGCTCTGCAGATTGGATCCCTGCCATGTCTCAACCCAGGAGCATGGTCACGTGCTTCATGAGGGCGCAGAGGTCAAAGATGGCCACGAGGATGGTGAAGAGCGAGCACCACATGCAGGTCCAGAAATAGAACGGCATGAATTCGAGGTCGCTTCCTACTGCAAGGTCGTAGACCACCAGAGTGTAGGCCAGGAAAGGGCCAGTTGCACCCAGGATGGACAAGGGCTGCCCAGCAAAGGTTGAGAATAACACGCCAGACAATGCTGTCGACATGATCATCTCTAACACACCAAACTGCCCATTGGTTCCATCCAAGAAGCGGCTCCCGAAGGTGATGGCGGGCGCAAGCGCAGCGATGAAAAGGTACCTTTACCGTAGCTTTTGCTTTAAGCGAGTCACTCAAGGTTTCAGAAGACTTGAAGCAACAAGATTCCTGGATGTGCGTTCTGAGGTACAAGATGGAGGACACGGACTTCTGAAAGTTGTCCGGTGTGAACGCATCTGTCCAGTCACTGCAAAAGAGGGGTGCCCTCCTCCTCAGGTCCAGCCTCAACCCGCCCGCAATCTTTCCCGTAAATTCGAGCGGACCGAAGTCCTTCTTGCCCGTGTGGGTGATGTACCCGGATTCGTTGCGCATAACAACCTCGGCCTCAGTCATGGCTCTTGTGCGGTGCCTGGTCCGGGAGTTGACTGAGTTGACTTTAGCCTTCGAGCCAGTGCCTTGCGCTGGGGGCAGGGAAGCTTTGCAAGCTAGTTTTTCATGGCCTCATGGGAAGCAAAATCAGCTTCACAACCCATATTTGCTCTGTTCCGCGACCCTGCAAGCAGGAATTAACGCTCGACCTGCTCCCAGCAAAGCGCTCTGGTTCAACTGCATCACATGGTACAATCATCAAAAGTCAAAAGGCTAAGATGCATGCAAACCTAACGGGGGAACCTGCTTTGCCCATGAGCTGCACCTGTTGGCTCTGTCCCATAACCCAGTAAGTTAGTGGCCACGGGCAGCTTCAACTGCTCGAAATCTCGTTTGATGAGTCGGGCGTGCTCCTGGAAGCAAAGCCGAAGATCTGGAATCTGAAGTGGCTCAGGGTCTGGATATGGATGTAAAAGCCGTAGGCTTGTGGGGCCAACCTAGTAGGTTCGCGGTCTTTATTGGTAGAGGAGGGTCTCGGCCAACATTGAAGCACGTTCAGGATGAAGCTCTGTTCATCTTCGCTGCAGACAGAGCCAATCAAGTGGGCAGTTGTTGTAAGACACCCCACCAAAGATCAACCACTGCTGCAAGACAACATAGGACCCTCAACAGGCTTCAGCACAACTCAGCAATTCTCTAGCAATTGTTAAGACCTGGCGCGCATTGGAGCCCTAGATCCTCGACAAACTGAGCACTTGATGCTTGCCTCTGTGCCTGTCATCTCGTGGTAGGCTTCGACACACTCGTCGCCAGGCCTTCGGAAGAGAAAGCACCAAGGACAGAAAAAACGGAGGGGAGCAGATGCAGACAACACCAGAAGTGAAACAGTGAAACCAGAGGTTCAGGCAGCAAGCAGGAAAGAATCAAATGAACGAACAACAAAAAACAAACGAGAGCAATACACACGGAACAGCCAACAAGTAAACACAAATTAAGGGCACACAGAAAGATACAACACACAAACGGATGACAGAAAGCAACGACACTATGAATAGATGAAGGACAAAATACTCTAGCGAGAGAATGAAGAGAAAAAGCGGACAAAGGAATAAAAGGATGGATTCCAAAGAAAGGATTGAACAGAATAAGAGACGAACAGTAACAAAGTGGTATCTTGACAATTCCCTGAGGCCCAGGCTTCAGGTGCTTGTACTCAATGATGCAGGTGTCCTGCCGTGGCATAAGGGTTTCAAGGTTCAGTGAAATCCAGGGGCCCAGATCGTGAGAATACGGCGTTGGCGTGCGCTATGCTTTATTCCAACAGGGATTGACAGCCATAGTGCTATTCATTGACGCTTCTACTGCAGTTTGCAACCTGTGGGTCCCTCAGTGACTTCTCAGGGGCCCGGCAGGGCTTTCATAGGTTTGATATCGGGATACCTGGGAGTCTGGGCAGCTTCCAACAAGAAATCTCCTTGTGGTACTCGCACTCCCGTGGAGCTTTCTGAAAAAACGTGCCATGCTCGTATAACCCAAACTGCTAGAAATTTTCGTAAACGAGCTTGAGAAGGACCATCCAACTTCGAGAAACCTTCGCCTCCACTTTGCCTAAGTTCCAAGGTCTCCCCGTTCCCGTAGGCAACAAGACCAACGAGCTGATCTTCCCCCAGTAAACCTTCAACAACTTCTTCTAACTGCAGAAGCAAGAGGAACCCAGTTCCAACCAGACTCCAGCTTCAGGATGAGGTCCTAGGTGTGAGATGATAGCAAGAGTAACAGCTACCTAATAGTACTGACAGTACTACTACCTACTAGTACAAATAGTAACCGGCATCTCTCCAAAGAAGCTGAAGATTGAACAGGACGGGAAACCATGTTATGAAGATCCAAGGAAAAATTGCCGTGCGCCTCTAAACCTCAAACCCAAACCCTAAACCCGAAAGCTCAAACTCTAAACCCTACGTTACATCTCAAACCCTCGACCTAACTTCTATTACTTGTGTGGCCGGAACCCTGCCTGCATGATCATGTCTTCGCCTTTGCACAGGAGAGATTCGCAACACGTAGGGTAAATACGCTTCGCGGTTTTGAAAAAACCGATTGAACCACTGGCATTGGCAGGCAGGGGTGGACGTAGCAAATAGGAGCTCAGGGATACATGCAACAGCGCATAGCAGGCTTTGACTTGCCAACAACTCGCCTGTGGTTGGCTAGGACCGAAAGAAAGGATCCTCATGGTAGTCCCTACATAACCCATGATCGTAATTTCCATTCTCCTTTTCATTCCTACATTCCCAGCTAACCAAAGGCCAGCCAACAGCTCCCCTGTCGTGTCAGGATGGCTTGGCTACCTGGGCGAGGACTCTACTCCTGCAACCCTACACCACACCGGCTCTGCACGAAACTTATCACCACGTACTGCACAATGATCCCCTTAGCTACCCTGGTTACCTTGGCCTATCCTTTATCTTAACTCGAGGTTTGCACTCTTACCAGAACCTCTTGGATTCTTAGGTTTTTGTCCGCCACGAAGCCTTTCCAATAAGTATTAGGTCGTAGAGGCTTAGGCTTCCTAAGCCCCCCCCCTACCAGGCTTGTGCGTTCCCCAGAGCTGGAGGACTGGCATGCTGCCGAGATTCCAATCTTATGGCAGAGGTCTGACCACTGATCCAGGTCTTTGCAGACGACCTGGAAAGGCGCTTCGAGTTCTTCAGGATGAACCAACTGCCCATGTTTGCCCTGACACTATACACTGCAGTCAAGGCCTTTTACTTATTCTCGGGGGCCATCCTGCCTGTCTCACGGCTCTAGGGTGAGAGCGGAAACTTTGGGCTCTGCGAGGGTCTTTCAGGAATAGGTGCAGCCCTCATGGATTCGGGCCCAGTTTCGGGTGGGCGCAGAAAGCGTGGGCTCGGGGACACAAATGCAGTATAGCTCGTCTAATGTCGCGGGCTTAATACTACAAAACGTGGTTCCCGTTTAGTCAAGCATGGGAAGGTGACCTTCGCGTTCGGCTCTCCACTGCTTCTGACTCCCCGGCCAGCTGTAGAGATCAATGATTAAGGAATAGGTTCTCATTGGGTGGGGTGGTGAACAGGGTGTAGACCCCTCAATAGGCGACTAATGGCTACCCTCAGGTTTCAACTAAACGGATATTTCTGAACCATGATCCATGATACCTACATAATCCGTCAGCGTCACCTCTATAATCTCCTCACAGCCCCGGAACTCTTGCCCTGAACTTTTCACGGAACTTCTGTTCCTACCCATGCACTGAAACCAAAACCATGGTCCCTTTGCCCAAAACATTGGAGCCCCACCCCCCTAATATTATGTATTCCCATTGCGGCATACCATAATAATGTACTGGGAACATTTACCAAAAGGGGCGGGGTCCTAGTTGGTGGAGGTGATTATTTTAACACCCGAGCCAGCGCAACAGGCCTTGAGCGTGTATCTCACCACGAGGTCATCAGGAATGGTTAGCACCTTTCTACTTACTGGTTCTTGATAGGGAACAAGGGAAAATATTATGTATGTAGGGATTATACTCCCATACTCCCTACTGAGAACAACCAGTAAGTCTGAGCTCAGGGCCCCAGGTTGAATAGAACCCACAAGCCCCGGGGCATCATTGCCAAGAGGACCCCGACATGTGCAGTTGGTTCTGTCACAAGCTGGGTTTTAAATAAATTGGAGACCTTAGATAGTCCAACATGTTGTAGTCCTTTCTTTGTCTGGTGACCACCAAAAATCCTTGGTTTTTGGAAAGCTCGCCGGAGGAGGTCGGTACAGAGTTTAGGGTTTATAGGTTTGGGTTCAGGGTTTAGGTTTCGTGGTTCAAGGTTTAGGGTTTACCATGACTGGACAAGCAAAAATGGCATGCAGCCGCGTTCCCGCAGCCTCTTAAAAATGTTGGGCAGTCTTCTCCTGAGCTTGTGTCCAAAGCAGGGTCATCCTTCAACTCGTGTAACATTTGAAGTTCTACTTTTCGCTCTATAAGTCTATAATATAAGTCTAGATTCCAACAAGAATTCACGAAAACTGTTCCTCAGCGCCGAATTAGTTTGGCAACGATATACATGGGAGCATTGAAGGCAAGACCCGGGAGGCTGCCGATAAGCGTTCGGTGTTTGCGGCGCATTGAGCAGCAGGGCCGCTGGAACCAACAAACATTCCGGAAGACTGAGCCATCATACTTTGCAGGGGCCTATAAACATGTATCCTGTGCTTCACAATCCGTGTGCTCGGGTTATGCAAGAACACCGAGCTGGAGAATGATAGTTGGGTATTTCTTAAGAAAAAGCCCACGCCCCCTAAGGTCCCATTGGATCACTGTCCGAAGCCCTCGCTTTGTCATTTTGTTGACCTCTTCCTTGCTGCGACTGCACCTCCTGCACACGTCTGTCAAAACTTGAAATCCCCTTTGTGACACCATCTCCCGTATGTCCGCGCATATGTCGGCTTCTGAACATATGGGTACACATAATTGCAGCAAAAAATGGTGATGTCTTCACGATAAGAAAAGCAAAAAGCACCCTTACCGATGGGGTCGACGACAACCACTCACATTCGACGCCCTCAACAGTACTAAGCCTGCAGCACCGGCCTCCTGAAGATTCCCTTCAATCTAGCCTTACACGGGAATATCATGAACCGTAGTTTGGACTCCGATGATCATACAGGTTCCTTTTGTGGTTGCCCTCATCAGCAAATTAGCACGTTCGGCGCCATAGAGTCCTTCATGAAGCCCCCGTAATCCTTTTGCATTCGCGTTTGCAAAATCTATTTGAAGTAGCCTACTACTATATGAATAAACAAGGAGAGATGGACCACTGCGTTGGTAATTTTCTCTACGTAAAAACCATCCTATTTTGCGCTGTCAACAGGCCCTGCCTCTCGGCCCTTAGGGCAAGAGTGACAGCGGACCGGCAGGCGCTGCGAGACGAAGAAGTCCTGGAGCCAAGCTGGGTTCCCGAAATGGGAGCTCAGGAAACAAAGGTAAGAGCTAAGGGTGGGGTGTG